CCGCTGCGTTAGGATTTATTTCGATAAAGTTCAATACTGTGCATGTTGTTTGACGTCCTAACAGAACCCAACAGTTGTAACTCGAGTGGATTCTCGACAAGGTTACAAAGCCTACGACTACGAAGTCGATTTAAACAACTACGAATGTGTAACTCGAGTGGATTCTAGACAAGGCTACGAAGCCTACGACTACGAAGTCGATTTAAACAACTACGAAGTTGTAACTAGAGTGGAATCTCGAATAGGCTACGAAGCCTACGACGACGAAGTCGATTCAAACTACTACGAAGTTGTAACTCGAGTGGAATCTCGAATAGGCTATGAAGCCTACGACTACAAAGTCGATTTAAACAACTACGAAGTTGTAAGTCGAGTAAAATCTCGAATAGGCTACGAAGCCTACGACTACGAAGTCAATTTAAACAACTACGAAGTTGTAACTCGAGTGGATTCTTCAAGACTACGAAGCCTACGACTATGAAGTCTACCTATAAATAACTACGATGTTATGTTTCTTAAGCAGATTCTCGAGAAGTCTACGAAGCCTACAATTATTAAGTCAATATATTGACAACGGTGAAGTGGCATATTTTGAATGGACTGTCGAAAAAATTCAGCTCAAGGCTAACCACGAACAAGTCTAACTATAGTTATAATACTAGTCATATCGATAAAAAGAACATCAGTGCTCGACTTCGACCCGCTCGCACGAAGGGTTGGGGAGAACACAAGTTGAAAAACTTTCGTTTATCAGCTATGAAGCTGCTAAAATTGTTGCTCGACTTCGACCAGCTCGCAAGAAGAGTTGGGGAGAAGACGAGTTGAAAAACTTTCGTTTATCAGCTATGAAGCTGCTAAAATTGTTACTCGATTTCGACCAGCTCGCAAGAAGGGTTGGGGAGAAGACGAGTTGAAAAACTTTCGTTTATCAGCTATGAAGCTGCTAAAATCGTTGCTCGACTTCGACCAGCTCGCAAGAAGGGTTGGGAAGAAGACGAGTATATTCATTATTGCTTGAGCATGTTGATGATTTGAATTTGAGCTTGATTTTGTCGAAATTGTATTTTGACCTCGGTGGAAGGTTGAGTGTATTTATTATTGCTTGAGCAGGTTGATGATTCGAATTCGAATTTCATTATTGTATTATTGCCCGAGTATGTTCACTTTTATTCATTACTGCTCGAGCAGGTTGTTGGTTGGTCATTCTGGTTTGTCGAATTTATTTTTCAACTTCAGTGGCAGGTCGAGGATACTCCTTATTGCTCGAGCAGGTTGATTGCTTTTCACTTGGTGATGTATTATCGAACTTATTTTTCGACCTCGGTGGCAGGCTGAGTGTATTTATTATTGCTCGAGCAAGTTGACGGTTTTATTTGACTTCGTTTTGTCAAATGTGATTTTTCAACGTGAGAGTGGAGTCAGGTCTTTCAGTCTTCGAGAGGATACACAACAGGCTTGAATTTCAAATTTTGAACTAGGGAGCGATGGGATGAGGTAACTGGAAAGGTTTATTATTAATTGACAAAGCAGAGTGTAAGTTCAAATTTTCAAATTCAAGACTTCGAGGATTGGTCTTGTGGTATTCGACCTCGATTTCGGTACTCGACCTCAGAGCCAGGTCATTCAATTTTTGACCGCAGAGGCAGGTTTTTCGATTTTCGACCTCAGAGGCAGTACTAGCCACTGCTAGTACTGCCGGCTCGACCGGTAGTATCTGATATAACATGTCATATCGGACCGGTTTTTATGGATATATATTGAAGAATACGCCTATACATGAGCTAAGACACTTGATATGATAATATGGGCCAAGCCCAACCTAGGCTAAGCCCAACTTTGACTATAAGGTACACTCTCCATATAAAAAGGGGGATAAGGTACTCATTTCATTCATTCTCTCTAAGCATTCTCTCCCTACACTCTCTCTTTCTCTCTCTACATACTCTCTATGCACTCTCATATGAATCCAGTACTGACTTAAGCATCGGAGGCCCAAAGCCGGGCACCCCTCTCGGGGTCCCTGACTTTGGGTTCTTGCAGATATGGTGGCCGTCCCATTCGAGGGAGCCCAGGTGACATCTTTGTCCTATCAGTTATAAATTAGAAAAAAGATGTTATAATGTTAGAATTTACAAATTATTATGTTATAGATGATAATTTAACATGTTTTAAAATTATAAATATTGTACTATATTGCAGGTGTCATTGAAAGATTTTAGAGGAGATGATATTGATTCCAGTGGTAGTTTCGAT